AAAAAAAAAAAAAAGTTACAAAAACTACACGACTTTTATTCTAATCTTTGAACTTTACTCGAGTGGAACACAGAGTAGGTAAGGTAGTTCCTCCCAAAGAGGAACATGCTCCGATTCAGTTAAATACTCCGCTATGGAGAAACGAGAATTCGCGGCGATGCGGTACCAGAGGGCAATTGGAAAACCCTGGGATCAGCAATCTCGCTGAAACCACGAATCGGCAAACCGCGAATGTCGAAAGCAGATGCACACACTGGCGCAGGAGAGCAACGCACGAACATATACACAAGTTAACAAAAAGAAAGAGACAAACGAACAGGCAGAGAAATTCATCACGAAGTGAAAGATCTGCCGATGACCACGGCTTAGTGTCCAGTAATGTGTGAAATATGGAAGAGAAGCATAAGTAAGGAACGATGTGAACATTAGTATAAAAAAAAAGAAAAGGCGAATAAGGATATATACAGAGAGACAGACGTACAAATAGCCGGGACAGACAAACCGACCGACGGACAAACTGAAAGACAGACAGACAGACAGACAGAGATGGCAATGTTCGGGAAACGAGCAAGTGGAGGGGGGTGCAGACAGGGGCGGGGCACGTCGCGGAGGGCCCCGCGTTCGAGGGAAGGAGGTAGGAGGTAGGACGGAGAAGGGTGCCTAGCAACAGGCCTGCCGGCAGCCGGGCAGAGCAACGTGATTAAATAAAACCAGCGTCGGGCACGGCGACCCACCAGGCGTTGACATCAGCACGCACATGTATAAGAGGCCTTTTCGAATACTCGTCAAAGATAGAGAGAGAAAGATAGATCTCACGCGCCAGCCTCTCTACGCACCAATACATCAACTACAGGTATCGTTGGTGTACGGCTGTATACCACGAGGCCGCCGTCCCGGTACCGAAGCACGCCTTCGAACCGGCGAATTCTCTCGGCCCACATGACTGACTCGCCGATTGCTTGCCTGCTTGCTTTTCTTTTTTCACTGGCTGCTACTTTGTCTCTAGCTTTCGAGTTGCCAACATCAATACGGGTCACCACGTTTTTTTCTTTTTGGTTCTTCCTTTGCTTTTTCTTCGGCGATTTGTTTGTTGAAATTCGACCGATCCTTCTCGTTAAAGAAAAGAAAAGAAAAAAAAAAATTCGAACACGTTACGCAAGAAATCATTTATAAAGGTACGTGGTACGAAGCGCGATAAAATAATCTTTTTTAATACTCCTCGCCAGTATGAAATTGCCGAACATAAGACAGATAAATGAGAAGATTCAAAGAGTTATTTAAAGTTTAACTTTGATAATGACGTAAGTAAGTCGCATGATTAGTAGGGACGTCGAAATCAAATAATGTTCCTTATATGGAAGTCGTCGGAACGCACGCAGAACTATGGTTTTTAGTATGAGATCAAATTACTTAATTAAAGTGATTATTTTTTATTTTTTATTCGGTTTATGCTCGTAAAAATTTTCAAAGTTAAACTGACGATAAAAATTGATGATACGAATGATTTCTTACGAATCCGATAAGTAACGCAAATGTGCTCACTAAACACACACACCAAAAACATTTTTTTCGTTTTTCAATTCGAACGATCCAGTGTTCCTAATGTTAGCTTGAAAGAAAATAAATAATTAAGAACAAATGTTAAAAAATTCAATGGCGACATATAAGTGTATCAAGTTATATAGTTTGAAAAAGAAATATGCTATCAAGTATCGACACCTGTAACAATATTGTTGCGACAGAAACACATTATTGATTATTTCTGTTTTAACAAGTATTTAACATTATGACAATACAAAAAATCGAGCGAAAAGAAAAATAACATTTAAGATTAGACATTTTCGTTAACTGAAACAAATGATCAAGATAATCGTAATAATGGAAATTAAAATTCTTAATAATGGAAAACAGAGATGAAAAGCGCATGCGCTTTCACGTTATCAAAAAAGAATTTTAATGTCCTTTGGAAATTACGTTAATAAAATTCGGGACGAATAAATACTTTCCCGTCACGCATGAATTTTTAATACACTGTATTCTCAAATTTTCGAAAATTCATTCACATTTAACAAGTGTATTTAGTAAATAAGTTTACCGACATTTGAATTCGTATTTATCACGTACGATTAATGGTTATCCAGGTCAGCATGCAAAGAAAGACACATTACATATAGGCAAAAACATAAAGCTTGGAGTAAAAAAAAAATGTCGATATAGTATAGACGAAGAAAGCTTTATAAATCTGTGTCTTATATTTTTCTTCAAGTTTTTTGCTAAATAGAAAATAGTTGCGTAAAATCAATATAATATTCGTGCTGTACATATGAGTACGTATTATGTACGTTAGAACGAAGAACACGGATGGTTCAAGTTTTCAACGAATAGCAAAGGGGAGTAGTGTTAAGAGGAAACGATCGTTAAGTGATATGGCAAATAATCGCGTAGTAGAATAGTCTTTTGTACGCATATAGTTCCCTTTTTCTTTCTTTATAATATCACAATCGAGTAATATTTTTAACTCTAAAAAAAAAAAAAAACAATTATTTCTCTGGTCATGTAGTAATTTTTTTTTCTACCGAAAGTGATGCGGGAACAAATGAAAGAAACGAGCTTACAGTCTCAACGTGGATCAATGTAACGTCGTTAATTCTAAAAATAAGTGATCCGATCT